GCAAAAAAGGTGGTTTTCGGTGATTTTCAACTACATGACCGTGTTTTTTTGGGGGAGGTAAGGCGAGTAATTTTTTGGGGGGGCGTGCTCCCCGCACACCCCCTGTAGATACGCCAGTGGTGATTATTGCAATTAAAATAAAATCCAACATCACCGACATCATCTCTCATAAGACATTTCATCACTGTCTAATCTTCCCGCTCCTAAAATCTGTGCAATAGCAAGCTGACTCACGTTACAATTGCGAGAAGTTTATCAACTCTCTGCATGATAGATCCCAGTAGGTCGGATCCTGTCTTCTGAAGGAGGCGTGTCATTAAAACAAACAACCACTCAGAAAGATCCTGTTTGTAAGCTCCCACAAAATCCATTAGTGTATCTAAAAATAGACTGAAGACCTGAAATCAGAAAATAAAATGGTATTATAATTACAGTATTAAGGACTGATACCAAGATAATATGGTAATTAATAATGTGATAAAAATCATTTTCAATTTCTATATATAAATAAGCTTTAGGAGAAATTGTTTCAAATTTTCATCCTAAAATACTGAAAATTAAAGAACAAATTAAAAGTCTTCTGCTAAGCTGTTTACGACCACTATTTTGTCGCTCACATCACAAACTAACACAATGAAAGCAGATTGTTTTAGTTTGTGAAAACGAAAGAGTTAAAATATGTGCCGCTTTTACAAAAGTGCTTGACAACCAATACCACATATTTTGACACGCTTTTTTATTTTCCATGAACTAAAACAATCTACTTTGATTGTGTTAGTTTGTGATGTAAGCGATGATTTGTAGGAGGGCCATGTTTTCATGGGACCACTTTTTAAGGAGGGGATACATGTATATGTGAATCCTGTATTTGTACTGATAATGTAGTATTTATCTCACCTTACTATGTGGATCCACAAACATTCTAGTAAATAACTCTGTTGTTCTCTTTAGCTCTTGCCGCCTTCAGAAAAAAGAGTCACAATATTTTTATTTCACTTGCCGACGTTCATGTGGATTTATTGGTTTTAAAAATATATAATTTTTCGTTTTCTATTCAATTAAATTCATTCTTCAATTCAACATTATTTTGGAATACATATCCATAACATGAAACACAATGAAAAAAAAAAAGTTTACATGAAAAGAGAAATATGAGTTACAACAACTATGAATCCAGGGGTAGGGAAGTTACTTTCCTAAAGGTCCTAATGACCCGCATACTCACCCTAACTGAACTATGCAAAATAAAAGGTTTTAAAAATAAGATTTTTAGAATTAGTTAACATGTAAACCAAAAAGAAGTTATTATAGCCAAAGTGTCGCTGTAACATTAAAAATATTTTCTGATGATGTTTACACTTACGTGAGAATCCGATGTGTCTGTAGAAGCATCTGTAAGCCGTGCAGGCCCTCTTTCCTTTCTGACCATGCCGGACTTGCCATTTTGGCTAGTATTTCTTGTGGGTCTTCGATGGCTCGCCCCGAGTTTGAGCCATATGAGCATACACTGGAAACGTCACTGTCCTCCCCATCAGAACAATTGCTGTCCCATCGCTTCCGTGAAGATATCTGCTGAAATGATATAAACAAAAATTACAAATCCAATAAATTTCATGAAATCAATAGTGTGTTTCCATACCAATATAAAAATAGCACATTTTAAATAATTTTAAAGGTATTTTTAAATGTTTTTATAATTAGGTCTGTAGATAGTACAAAATTTGTGAGAACTTTCTTTGTTGGTCCGTTAAAATTAAACTAAAATAAAAAATAACAACAATAATAATGATAATGATAATAATAATAATAATAATAATAATAATTATTATTATTATATCTATACAGTAATTATTTACTTTAAAATAAGATGAAGGTAATTATTTTTTTGCTTTTTATATACAGTGTATTTTTAAAATCAAGTATCGAATAATCATAACCATAATTTATAGGTTAAAAAATTGTAAATATTCCTATATTTACTTTTTCCATTAAAAAAGATAATTATATCTTATGTTATTAAACTGACTTACAAGTGCGCTTTCCAAGGCTTGTTCTGCATCCCGACCAGTACCCAGTACTCGTTGTGCTAAGATGTTTTTCTGTGTTAGCTCTCGTCCTGGATGCTGGTTAGCGCCTCCACTCATTCGTCTTTCACGACTTGAAGAACCTGACAATCAATTTTGAAACAATCTTATTGGCCTTCTTAATGATTAATCCATTTAAATGATTATGGATGGTCAGTGTTCTATTACTAAGTTCACACACAAATTCTGGGTCTGTTCTGTTCATGCTAGGATAGAAATGTCCTGCAACAACCTTCTTCACAGACCATCTTCAACCAGCATAATACAATGCTTAGATAAAACGTTCACATAGCTCTGGAAGCTAGGCCAAAATGTGGGATTGTTGCTATGGCTACCCAGCGGTGGCACCAGAAATTTGCTGACATGGGGTAAAACATGTCCGATGGAGGTGTCCAAGCCAAGGGGCCGAAAAAGCCTCGGTCGATGGCCTGGAATAAAAAGTCCCTTTTAGGGTTCACTGGGAGAGTTTTTATGGCTAATAGAATGGTCCAAAAGGTGCTTTCAAACTTGGAACCGTTCAAATAATTTATGTTGCCAGAAGGAAATATTATCTTGATATGATTACCAGGTATACCTTCAAGTTAATACCAGATGTACCATCAAGTTATTACCAGGGGTAACTGCAAGGTATTACCAGGTGTACCTGCAAGTTATTACCCGGTGTACCTGCAAGGTATTACCAGGTGTACCTGCAAGGTATTACCAGGTGTACCTGCAAGTTATTACCAGGTGTACCTGCAAGGTATTACCAGGTGTACCGGCAAGTTATTACCAGGTTTACCTGCAAGTTATTACAGGTGTACCTGCAAGCTAATACTAGGGATACCTAGTTATTAGGCAAGTTATTACCAGGTGTTAATGTTGTACTGTCAATATATTACCAGGTTAGGCAAGACTTTTTATATTTCTTGTTTCACATACTTATTTTATTAAAGATTATCAGAGCAGGGCGGAATAAAAATAACAATAAAATTTTGTTTTCTTATTTAGCAAATAGTTTGCCAAAATCATCCAGACAGAAGAGAAAATAAAAATAAAATTGTACTGCTGAATGTAAAATAGGATGGATGCTTCAAATTTATATAATTAGGAAGAAATATACATATCTTATCTTTGGAGATTTCAAGGCAGAAAAGGGGATAATAAAAATAAAGAATTTTCCATTTTTTCGTGGCGGTGGGTGCGCTAATTGGCCAAAAATAAAATTTTATTTTTATTCGAAATCATCAATATTTGCAGTCGGCAGGTTCACTAAAAAACTTTTAAAAAGTCTTGCCTTACCTTAGATTTATTACTAGATGTACCTGCAAAGTATTACCAGGTCTACCTAAAGGGTAATACTGTATCAGGTATTATAGTTGTACCATAGAGAAATGGTTGTCTATGGTTGTACTACTAAGGTTTTTGTGAGGTGTACCTGCTACGAATTCAATACAAAAAATTACAATCAATTTTCAGTTAAATGATGTGGAAAGATTAGATATAAATTTCAATAAGTGTGGGAACAAGACAACAAATTACAAGCTTAATTGGACAGGTGGTATGGGACTAGTTAGGTTAAATGCTTAATGCGCATAGGTAAATGTATTGACAAAGTAAACTTTCAAACTTGCATCATAAATATGAATATCATTTTGTTCAATAGACAAACTTTTGAAGAATGAATCAAGGTTTCAACCCATAATGAATCCTGCAAATTTCAGTATGTTTCACATTATCAATGAAACACCTCTGAAGTGTTAAAAACAGTTTTATCTGTGATGAGTTTTTTCGTATCCACTTGCTATTAAAAGTTGAATTTAAAGAGCTTTAAAAGTATGGTATATTTCAACTTCAATTCTAATTTTAACAGATATTAATTAAGGAATGATTGAGGATTATAATAAACTAAGTCATTTTAGGATTAACAAGGGTTAACTATTCGAAAATTCAATCCAGAATAAGAGTAATTTTCAGTTTTACACTGCCTTAGCTTTACTAAGTCAAACCATTTGATCTTTAGACAAAATTATATTGATAATTATAAGTAATTTTAACAGAAATATATTACGGAATCTGTTCCTGAAATATACACATAATAACATACTAAAAGTCTGAAAAAATCCAATCAAGGGAACATTGTTCATTACAAAGATATTTAATGGGTTAAAATCAAATGCTTTATCGCACACCTGCTGTGCCAAAGCGTATAAACACATGTCGTTGCCAAGTTGTTGCTAACGAAAAAATGTGAATAATAGGGTAATACGCCCGCACGCGATCCAAAGCCGGGAAACACATTGGTTTGTCGCGTCAAAGGCATTTGTTGCCGAGTGATCTCCTTCTCAATAATACCTCCATGGGATAAGGAACTTGTATGTATCCATTACATGTTGTAGTTAAGTAGGGTGGCACAGATAACTCAAATATATTTTCACTGATTAAAGACTTACAATTGATTACCAATCAATTTATGGGTCTACACAAAAGAACATAGGAACTGTAATGAGGGAAAAATGTTATCAATCTAAAGCTAATAATCTATTACAGACAGTATATCTTTAAGAACAAGAGATACTAAAGAGACAAAAGCACCTTATAGAAAGCACCAAAGCTTTATGCTATTTTCTAAAATATACATTTCTTCCCACAAAAATCTCATTTAACTAATATTTGCTAAGTTTCTACTGCAAACTTACTGTAACCATAGCGACTCGGACTATTCTCTCTGCTTGCACCTTGACTTCGTGGTACAGTACTAAAAGTCTGAAAAGATAACAGATAACTCAAATATATTTTCACTGATTAAAGACTTACAATTGATTACCAATCAATTTATGGGTCTACACAAAAGAACATAGGAACTGTAATGAGGGAAAAATGTTATCAATCTAAAGCTAATAATCTATTACAGACAGTATATCTTTAAGAACAAGAGATACTAAAGAGACAAAAGCACCTTATAGAAAGCACCAAAGCTTTATGCTATTTTCTAAAATATACATTTCTTCCCACAAAAATCTCATTTAACTAATATTTGCTAAGTTTCTACTGCAAACTTACTGTAACCATAGCGACTCGGACTATTCTCTCTGCTTGCACCTTGACTTCGTGGTACAGGTATACCACTCCGCCGCCGTGTCCGACCCGATGTGTTATTGCCGTTGACATGGCGTCCCATGGTTGAGAACATCTTGCTAGATGGCGAAGCGGACCGACTACCCGACCTGCTTCCAGCTGTATAAGTGCAAAATAAATGGCGCTTGTTTTTGAGGTCATGCAATGGTTTCATGCCAACTGCAGGGACTAAAAATGTGTCAGGCAAGCAGCATTGTAGCTGAGACCAGAAGCAGACCAGGTTCTATAGTTGGGTTTTATCAAGTATCTATTGCTATACAGTTCCAAGTTTACTGGTCGGTTTCATACACCAGTTTTATGGTTCAGTGTAGTGTGGCATTGTAAGGTATCATATTGTCAAAGGCATACTAAGAACATAACTAGAGTACACAAGGTGCCAATAAACTAGATGCAACTGTTGAGTAGATTTATAATTTGTTAAGCTATGTTTGAAACTAGTTTAGTCAGTTTGTGTTGAGTATAGGTTAATATTGTTAAATAAAACTAGTAAAGTCGCACTATGTTGAGTGAAAAGGTTTTTTAATTATGTAACTAGATTTACAAACTTGTGTTGAATAAATTGGTTTAAAAACAATTTATCTGACATTTTTTTGGGTCAACTGATTTATAATATGATTTAACCAGATTTATAAACTAGTTAAAGTCACATTTGTGTTGAGAAATATGTTATGTTAACTAGGTTTACAAACATATTTATAAGACATGTGTGTTGAGTAAATGGTTTTATTATTTGTTTGTTAAACTAGGTTTACAAAATAGTGGTATTTTTGTTGAGAAAAGTGTTATAATGTTAAATTCAAGTTAATAATGATGATGGAACAGATCGACATGTATATTTCATTAAAATTATTCATTTAAAAAAAATCTAATAGTTTACGTATTTCTGTTCAAACACAGATTGGTCTGCTTTGGTTCAAAATATATTTATAAAAGTATGAAAATTAAATATGATTATGAATGATTTGACAAAAGAGTTTGATGATATTGGATTGAACTTGTCAACCATGCAGTAATTAACTCATTTTTAAATTAAAATACAATTTGTCTTTTAAAAAAATAGCATTTGACACCTGATAATAAAAAAAATTTATTAGATTTTGTGATATTTTACATTTACTATCGATGGCCAACATCCAGTTTACTTAATATCATCAATTGTATCAATTCAAAATTATGGTTTAAAGGTAAGTAAAATATTCTTAAAATAAATCCATACAAAATGAAAAATTATAAAATACACCATATCAAAACCGCAGGCTAAATACTACAGTATGGAAGAAAACTTAATAATAAATAAATAATTTAGAAAGAAACAAGATTATAGAAATTATTCTAAAAAGTATAGATATTGTCGTAGAAACATCTTGGAATTTATATCAATGAAATATTTATACCATATAATTTTTACAAGTGAATCAAACAAAATACACTAAATGTGACCAACATGAATGGATAAATAAACGGGTTCAGAAAAGTAAAGTAGGAATCCCAAAACTGGTGAGTGGAATACAGTGTCAAGCAGAGGAGAAAGAAGAGCAAATAACTACGAGTAAGAATTATGAATTTAGATTAATATAGAATTTTAGAAATAGCAACAACCACAATAAAAACAATAACAATAATAATAACAATATTATTATTATTAATAATAATAACAATAATAATAATAATAATAATAATAACAATAATAATAATAACAATAAAATCACAATAGTAACACTATTATTATATATAGAAATTTATATATTTTATCAATGATACAAGCACTGAAAAATGGTTTTGTTTATACTGTACTCAAATAGTTATAATATAAACTAGAAAGATATAGAATTTAAAGTAGTAAAAGCATTTACAGAATGAAATACAGTATTTATTTACTATATTCAAACCACATAACATTGAGATCCAGAGGTACGAAGAAAAAATTGCATGGACATCGCATGTACGAATCTAGAGGTAGTAAAGATAGAAGCTGAGGTAGATATAAAAAATTAATAAAATGAGAAGGATAGTGTACTTACGTTGTGATTGTGATACCCCAATACGGTTACGAGTCCTAGTGGCTCTTCCATTTGATAATGGCACCCTCCCGTTACTATTTAAACCAGAATTGACTCGGCTCGGCGTGGATGCTGAATGATGAAAAATTATCATGTTAAAAATTATGAAAAGAAATGTAGAATTAAAAGACAATCAAAATAAACTGAATAAACTAAGGTGTTGAGACATCGAGTCTGTTATCATGCTTCTTGGGTTAATAATATATTCTGAATAATATACTTGCATAAAGCATCGACGACGTATTATTAATGAACGTTCAATGAAGCATAACCACGGTAAACAGTAACAAGTGAGCAAGGAGGGTCTATTGAGAGGAAATAAGATACCAGAATTGAAAGTCGAGCATGAGTGAGCAGCGATTGTGGTGACTAGCAGAAATTGTCACTTTCAAGGTCATATGTGAATTCCATTCCATCAAAATTGTACAATCAACCGTCAAGAATCAATTTAGTACACGCCAAGTTAAACACACAAACATACTAATTGGTGGTCTGGCACGACATACTGATACACCTGACCGCACACAGGTTCCAGGGCATGAACATCAGGTGCCAAAGTGGGTCTGTTACAAAATACCTTACTTCTATATATCCATTTATGGAAAACAATATCAATACAAATTAACAAAAAATTCCCTTTGTTCCAAACCAATAATTGTTTACTTATTAAACATCACCAATCACCAATAATAATTTATTGATAAACAAAGATGAGCTCCTTTAAAGGCTAATAAATAAATCAAAACAAATAAAAATTTAAGGTGAAATATAAAACAAAACAAATTAAAGATTATTCTAGAAAATGAAATAATAAGGAGAATTGAAAACTCAATTTACCCCTAGAGATATATAGTCAAATAAGGTTATGGTTGTATATTTTTATTATCTAATCAAACAATTAGATAAAATATCAACATATATAATACTATATATTGCACATATACGAAAAGGAATAAGCATGTAAATAAAATAATAAACATTGTTATTGTGCATATTAAGATAGATAATAAAGGTGAAATGAATTTTAATTCTTAAGTGGAATGAAAAGGCAAAAACTATCATGTATACAATGCCAAATGAGCCTAAAAATCTTCAAAGCGACTAATTTACTTTAAACGGAAAAAAATCAATCAGGTGTAAACATCAAAAACTACCCGCTAAATTCAGGTAAATACCAACATTACTTCAATCTCACAGGAAACTACTCTAGAGTATGGCCAGGTTAAAGACTGTGTGTGACAGGATGATGCACGTTAATATAATACACAATTTTGTGTGATGGAATTATCCCATACAGGTCTAAAAATCTACTCATTCCATATGTGAGGGGTAGTATAAAAAAAAAACCAAAAAAAAAAAAAAAAACACCAATAAAGAAAAAAAATGAATATACAGCTTTTTGGTTTCAAGTCCCTATGGCCAATATCTATTCAGTTTATTCTCAAGTTGTTATTAATTTTTTAGTAATGAATTTCAAATTGACTAAATTTGTTATTAAATATTGGGTAATTTACTGTAATTTTGTATATATATCAGACAGATCCAAAATGGGATAGATTGATGTATTTTATATTCTCTAAATCGCAGTTTACAAACAAGGTTTTGTCACATGTGCTGACAGCCCCAAAGGACACAAAGAAAGAATTAAAAAAAAAAAACATAAAAAAAGAAATACAATTTCTTTAATTAATTAAAAATTGTTATTAAGCTTTAATATTTTATCACTGTTCACTATTACTATTATTAATTCCAATAAATTTAATATTTTGATATTTTAAATTTTAATCATAATTATGATACTGTATGGATGAATATGAATAAATAAGCTGGTTTTGACCCCTAAAAAACCATGTAACATGTAAAACTGTATTTACTTTAGAAAATCCCATAATACAACATTAAAGAGACCCAAACAAGAAAATGCAAAAAGATTTGACTCAAAAGAAACATTCAAAGTAATAAAAGCAGGAATTAAACTTAAGCTCCAAGAAAAAGTTACTAGATTTGAACAACTAGAAACTTACATTTGTTGATTCTTGGTAAAACTTAAAGAGCATCCATGATTGAGTTAAAAAATATTATCAAAATATTAAACACAAAATATCATAAAGAAAAAAAAACACAGGGACAGGAACAAAATACCACCCTTCCAAAAATAGTGCAAAGCATTAGGTCTTACTGGAAAGTTTGTAGGTCAAATGTCAAAGTTCAAAAGTCTGTAAGATTGCAGATTTACATGACACCAATTTTAATTTTAGCCAGACACATTATTTGAGATCAGCTCAGTTTAAATAGCCAGTAATGTAAATATTTAATATGCACAAGATTCACTACCTTTCATGGCATTAATATTTGGAGCTAAAAAAAGCAAACTTTGATGGTGCAGTGAAAGACATAAAGGCTTATACATGCTCGCTCTCTCTTTCATCCTTTCAAGTTTAACTTGAAAATTCAAACGTGAATAGATATTTTATCTCTGATTTGGTTTAGGAACGAGATCTCCTCTTGGAAATTGATATATATTCCAAAAAAAATGCATGCACAAAGCAAGGATGAGAAATTATATAACAATTTTAATTGACACCTGTTGTCATTCTATACATTGGTATGTACTACAAAGGGAAGCTTCCAGATCTGTCTCTTATAC